AAACAGGGTCTCCCTGTAGCCCCAGCTGTCCTGGAACTCACTGTGTAGACCAGGCTGGCCTCGAACTCACAAAGATCCACCTGCCTCTGCCTCCCAAGTGCCAGGACTACAGGCATGCGCCACCACGCCCGGCTTTAAAGAAGTTTTTAAAACTGCACAACACAAAGCGAGAAAACTACAGCATAATCTAGTTCCTATTTGAACCAAAGTCTAAAATACAAATAAATACAAAACTATCAATAGATCAGAAGTAAGCATTATATTTTACAAACTTATGAATAACCATTCAATTTAAAATGTGACATTCTCCCCCATAAAATCAAGCTGAAACATAATGAGAAAACTAATCCTGCCCGGCGTAGTGGCTCATGCCCATAGTCCCAGTATTTGGGAGGCAGAGGCAGGCAGATCTCTGTGAGTTCGAGGCCAGCCTGGTCTACATAGTGAGTTCCAGGACAGCTTGGGCTACAGGGAGAGCCTGTCTCCAAAAAAAAAAAAAAAACTAATCCTACCATATGCCTTTTTATTTAATGTGCACAGCATTAAATAAGAATTAGTAAATAAATCAAAATAACAAGTCATAAAAGTAGGTAAACTTTCGACCAACATACAATAAATATACAATAAATATTATTTCCTACGTTTAGGTAAATCTTGATATGATCACTTCCCTCAAATTAGAAATACTTTGTGGATGCTAGCAAACATAAAGAACTGGGAACAAGATAACGCAGTTGAGAGAGGTTTAGGCATAGAGCAGCTGGGCAGCAGGGTCCAGAGCTGTGGCTGCACAAAGGCTTGGTATGTCCAGCCAGTCCAAAAGGGGAAGCGCTACCAGAGAAAGGACTCCACTCAGGTGAGGTGGCTGATCTGAAGAAAGCTGCCTAAAGGTTCACCATGCTGGGGAGCTGAGCTAGGAGCAGTTTACATATTAACAGATGGGTGATCTCAGTGGGGTTGGGGGGTAACCTTCTCACATGTGGAAATGTGTATCCAAACCCTGTACCTGTATATCACATCTCAGTTGCCTAAGAGAGATGCTTTCCTTTTCTGTGCATATCAAAGGCAATGCTTATAAGCTATTCTTGTCACTAATTAGCTTACCCCACCCACATGTAACTGGCAAATTACATGATGTACAGACTATACAAAAGAGGTGCCCCTTTGAGGTCTCAGTGCTGCTCATCAGACTCACAAAAATAAATAAAACATGCTTCACCTTAGTATTGTGGAAGACCATGAGATGAAGTAAAAAAAAAAAAAAAAAAAAAAGCTTTGCATAGGCTCTGGTCGCCATGTCTGGCTTCAGAGGCAGACTGCCCACATTCAATTCCCAGCTCTGCTACTTTGCTACAACTTTGGGGAAGTTACTTTAACTTCTCTTTGCCTCAGTTTTCTCATCTATAAAATGTAAATGACAGCCCCACTCTTCTAAGGTTGTGAGAATTGAATGAACACAGAAAAAATTCAGAACAGTATTAAGATATAGAGTTAAACACACAATGTTAGTCATTTAAATAAACAGAAAGGGGGCTGGAGAGATGGCTCAGCGGGTTAAGAGCACTGACTGCTCTTACAGTGGACCCGGGTTTGAGTCCCAGCACCCACATGGCGGCTACAAACCGTCTTTAACTCCAGTTCAGGAGAATCCAGAGCCCTCTTCTGACCTCCACGACATTGTACAACACAGGTGCATTCACATACATGCAGGCAATACACTCATACACATAAATTAAAAATAATGAATAATAAATATATATATAAATAAAATAAAATAAAGAAAGATCTTAAAAATGCCCTTTAATGGGGCTGGAGAGATGGCTCAGCAGTTAAGAGCACTAGCTGTTCTTACAGAAGACCCAGATTCAGTTCCCAGCACCCACATGGCAGTTAACAACTATCTGTAACTCCAGTTCCAGGGGATTTGACACTCTCTCCTGGTCTCTGTGGACACTGCACTATACAGGTACACTTACATATATGCAGACAAAACACTCATGCACATAAAATAAAAATTTAAATAAGAATTTTGTAAAAATACCTCTTCTTCATTTGCCTTTATTTAGGTTACCTTTACTTCACAAGTTTTAAAACAGGTACTTTCATTAACAGACCTCAATGCAAGTCAACAAAGATTAGAGATTTTTTTGTAAATATCTGCTCACTATTGGCATCAGCGCTAGTAACTCTACCTAAAAATATGTCTTACCTGTGACTCCTCCTGCATTCTAATGTGTAAGACAAGTAAATTCCCCTCTTGCTCTACCACTCTGGCCCTCTGCAAGCTCTTATCTATGCTGTCTCTTTCCACTGTGCTGTCTCTTTCTCTGCAGTGCTGCCAAATTCTTCTTCATAATACACCCCTCTAAACTGACCAAATGTGTAGGGGTATAAAGATAAAACTGACACAGGAACTCTAACCCAGGGTCCACTCATCAAGAACTGACAGGCACAAGCTGGACCCATGAAAGCAAGCTTAGAGGAATCGACTACACTCAACTGCCTCTTTGATGCTGGGTTTTTTTTTTTAATTTATTTATTATTTCTATGTGTATGAATGTTTTGCCTGCATGTATGTGAGTGCACCCATGCTGTCCAATGCCGCCAATGTCAGGAGAGGGTGTCAGATTCCCCTGGAACTGGACTTAAGGATAGTTCGTAGCTGTCATGTGGGTGCTGGGAATCAAACCTGGGTCCTCTGCAAGAGCAATCAGGGCTCTTAACCGCTGAGCCATCCCTCCAGCCCCCTGATGCTGTTTTTAAAAAGGCAATGGGATAGAAAAATCTAAGACAAACAGCACATTAATTGACTGGTTTAACTACGCCAATGTTCCTCTGGCCCATTCTGAACAACCAGTGGGCTAGGCTGTAACTTACTAGGGCACACAATGTGAGTGCATGAAAGACAAAAAAAAGCTCCAGGCAAACTGGGCCTAAAGCCCAAACACATAAAGAACCTAATGCTAAGAAATACTACCACTTTCCTTTGGGCCTAAATTTGTTCTACTTTTTCACAAAGACTTTTGAAATAAATACCATTTTCTACAAACAAGACAGGAAAAGAAGCTACCTAAACTACCTTGTTTCTTTTGTTTTTTAGACAATCTCATGTATACCACACTGGCAATAAATTTATCGTGTGGAAAGGCATGTAGCTTCCTCCTCCACCTCCCCAGTGCTGGGATTACAAGCATGTGCTACTAAACGCCAGGTTGAAACTTGAGCCAGGTTGAAACTTGAGTTAAAAACTAATAACCACATCCCCAGGCCACAACTAGGGGAAAAGAGGAAATACAGGACTTGTACAAACATATCAGCAAAGGGGAACAAAATAGCCTGCCTTTCTCAAGGATCTCAGAAAATGTTCTGTTGTCCCAACACAAGACTGACAGATACCTAGGAGAAAATGTGAAACTCAGAGACTATGTATTAACCCAGCCTCCAAAAGTTATGACTGGAGTGACCCATGTCAATTTTGATACATGTCATTCTGTGGGACTACATTACATCCAAAAATTTAACCAAGATATTGCTGACACAATCCACTCTTTTTTGATTTTCAAATCCAGTCACTGTTTTAACTAAAGAGAACATATTTTATACAACAAATCTATATTAAAAAGCACAGATTTGTATTGGAGGTGCAACTAAGTAGTGCATAGCACTTAAAGGGTGGGGTCCAAGGTTCAATCCCTAGCACCAAAAAAAAAGGCTTGCTTGTTGACTTCCTACTAAAAATGTTTCAGGCGTGGTGGCGCACACCTTTAATCCCAGCACTTGGGAGGCAGAGGCAGGTGGATCTCTGTGAGCTTGAGGCCAGCCTGGTCTACATAGTGAGTTCCAGGACAGCTGGGGCTACAGGGAGACCCTGTCTCAAAAAGACAAAAAAAAAAAAAAAAAAGTTTCATATCAAAGGTATTTATTAGGAAAAGGTAAAGGGTCCCAACCCAAACTTATTACAACTATGTCCATCCTTTCACAGTCAAATTACTTAATTTCTAAATCAAACAAGTAAATAATATATTTTTTATGACATAGCTAATAGCTCATTATACTCTTTAACGATTGTACCCACATTTTATTTGATGACTTAAACAATTACTTCTTCAGACATTAACTTCTTTACACATTAAAGTCCTATCATGCCAAGACTATTTCCTTTTTGCCAGAGATTTTTAAAAAGTCTGTTAAAAGCAGAAGCACTGGAGTCAATTTTCACTAATAAATACAGTTAACATGGAACTGAAAACCGACTGTAATAGTCTCAATGGGTTAATGTTTTAGCTTTCAATTGACATGCAGCTACCTGCCATATTTTACAGAATGAATTCAGATGTGCAGATTGAGAACTACATCATTTCAACATGCCAGTTTAAATGTGAACCCAAGGAGCAAATTCATTTCTGATAAATACTACATTAACCTGATCACTAAACCAAGAGCCAACACTGGTGTCACTCCAACAAAATCCTACTCCATAAAAGAAAAACATCTATTTATTTCATATATAT